GAGACTCATTCAGAGCCCCAGACTCATGAATGGTGTGGTGTTTTCCTCCATAAACACAGTGCCTTGCCCAGTTTCGAACTTCCACTGAATTCAGCATTTTCCTTATAGATGTAACATGAACTTGTTTCTAATTAAAATATTAGTCTGAATTATGCATAGTCCTATTTGAAAACTGAAAATGGCTTAACTGAAGAGATCCTAGTGAAATAACTATATTCACAGGAAATCAGCAAAGACTGGCAAAGCACCCAGGGGTTAGCTGTAGACAGCAGGCACTGTCCCCTCAGGCCTAGGGGTTGGGGGGGCGGGGAGGGAGGTAAGGCAAGGGACCAGTAGGACTGGAGCCCTGGAAAAGGGGTGTCCTGCAGGAGCTATGGCCACAGGTCACCCAGAGGAAGCCACACAGGACAGAGGAAATACATCCCTGACCTTGCCTCTGGCCTCTTGGTGGAGCTCCACCCGCCACAGCAGGAGCCCCAGGTGCCATAGGTATGTAGCACAGCTGGGAAGGGTGGGGGGTTGGGAAAGGTGGGGTGATGACTGGCTCCCCTTCCCTCTGTCTCCAGCACTAGCAGTGATGAGTGAGAAGCACCTAGGTGTAGAAAAACTGAATTTGCCATCTGTGAGGCTCTCTGCTCTCCCCAAAATTGTGTTTTTTGAAAAACTGCCACAGATGTTAGGTGCTGGCTCAATTTATTGTGCCTCCCAGGGCCTCCTCGCAATGCATGCCAGGGTGAGGCTGCCAGTTGCATAGCTCTTGAGGGTCACGTGGTGATTAGTCAGAACTGGATGTCAGAGTTGGCTCAAGTGCTCAGAGCAGCCTGAATATCACAGCGCTAACTGAAAGGAGGATGGAGCCCTTAGCCTTGACCCTTCCTTCCTTCATCAGCTTCCTCCGCTCCCCTGGTTTTCTTCCCTTTTCCAGTTATGTCTCTTTCTGCTTCTCCTCTCTGCTCCCACCTGTTTGTCTTCTGTTCTTATTCTGTGCCTGTTCTTTTCCCCACTCTAAAGATAAGACCAGAGTGTTCGACCTAAGCATTTTAAAATACGGCCGACCTACCAAGTGAGTGTAGCTTCGAGGCGTATACTTCTATTTTTCTGAGGAGACCAGAATAAAGGTGTGTTCCTTTCCTGTTGTTTCCTCAGCTCTTTTCCATTGAATGTCTGCAGCCTTCAGTAGGAAGTATTTATATTTCTTAGATGTTTTTAAAAGTCAGTTTAAGTTAGGTTATTTGCTCGAGGTTGGTTGAAAGAAAGAGAGAATTGAGTGTAAACACGTTAGGATGAACAAATAATGGCTCAGGGAAAGCTGGAAAGGATGAAGTGAAGGAATGTGACCGTCAGCAGCTTTTAAGGGATATGAACAAACAAAGCCTAAGTCCAGGGTCGTGCCCCCTTCTGGTTCCAGTGATACCATCAACTGGCACACGTCCAACACATCCTTCCCTGGAGCTGCTGGCCACTCTGAGGGATGTTAGAGGCAACCCCAGTCCTGTCGAGACTCTGGAATAGAACTGAGAAGATGGGTGTGAGTGGAGCAGTGTATACCTTGGGCAGTAAAAGATTGCTTGTTAAAGTAGAAGTGTTTAGAGAAGGCCAGAGACTAGTGAATTATAAACTGACCAAAATAGTAGAGAGCAGTCAGAGGCATTTTAGTCTACTAAACAGCATGAACCAAAAGCCCAGGGCTGAGAAGGTGAGGGACTCATCTCAGAGCCAGTGTGTTACTTGGGGTGCCTAAGGGAATTGAAGTACTTGTTGGACCTTGTCCCAGGAATGGATGGATAGGGGATTTTCAATACATTACAGTATGTTAGAGGATTTGTTTTATATAGGTACAGTTGCCTGTTAAACATGGGAAGTAAAATCCAGAACATTTCCTAAGCATGTTGACAGCCAGGTAGGAGAGCTCAGTGGGCAGAAAGGTAGGCTAGCTGGCTACTACAGTGTTCAACTCTGTCTCCTGCATTTTTTTAATGTGGGTGTGTAAGCCTAGGAGCAATCCCAAAGGCCACTTTTAGGGAAGAGTTTGTTGCTGGTATTGCTTGTTTGTCCCTGGTTAGACTCATTCAGGGCTGGAATTTGGAGTTTTGAACCTGAATGAAGTCAGTACTTTGGTGCAGATGTGACAGGTGCAGAATGGACCATTCTGCACCTCTCAGAGGTGACCTGCGTTAGGGAAGCTCCTGAGGATAACTAATTACACAAGTAGCTTTTCTGCCTGTTCACTCAGGATTTGTAAGTGAAATAACAGGGATTCAGAGAAGAATTACCTTCCTATTACGTAAACATACTTAAATTTTTTTTAGGGTTTGAATCTTATGTTTATTGTGATTTTCATTATCATCTGAGTTTTTCATCTAAGAGGAGGTATAAAAAGTGCGTGTTTATTCAGCAATATTTGAGCCCCTCTTACATGCTGGGCATGTATCTCTATAACTGTGGGCACAGGAATCTTGGGATAGATCTCGTCTTGTGCAGATCGGACGGGGACAGTGGCATGTTTGGGCTTCGTGTTTTCCATGCCCGCTCTCTTGGTTCACTCTCTGCTCCTCCGCTCCCACACAGATGCAACAAGGAGACGAGCCTTCGCCCTGGTCTCTCAAGCCTACACCTCCATAATTGCTGATGATTTTGCAGCCTTTGTAGGACTTCCTGTTGAAGAGGCTGTGAAAGGTATCTTCAAGTGGCTTTTTACTCAAATTGGGAAGTAAAAGTGTGAACTGTGAACTGCGGGGTCACAGTCCCTTCTCTGAAACCCCTAGAAACAGGATATGTTTTTGGAATCTTGGCTGTGTCTGTTTTTAGAAAGGTGATAGGAAACATATTATGCAGCACCCCTAGCACAGCTTTGGGCAGCAGCACTCTGTGCTCTAGCACAGCATAGCCTGCGGCCAGCAGACTCGTGACTGTCTCCCTAGCTGGTTACGAAAACATGTCTTAATTGACGCCCTTGTGCACATCTGGAAATCCTTCCTGCAGCCTTCCTGTTCAAGGCATTCTCATCCCCTTGTCCCCCTCAGCCCACCCCACCCCCACCCCCACCATTTTGGACACACCATCAGTGCTCTGCTCTCTGCCTACTGGCTGCACATGTGCACTTGCATTTCAATTTCTCAAGTGATGCCCACACCGATCCCTCCACCTGCTGGTTGCTGTGGAATGTTGTATACACCTCATTGCGTTGTTTTACCATGATGGACATTTTTGATTCTCCAACTAAAATATGAGCTCCATCAGGCACCACATCTGACATTTCCAGAGCACAGCACAATTCCAGATGCAGAGGATGGTTAAGGAAAGTTCCTGTATTAAATCATATTGTTACTTACTGACAGAAACATTCGTTTGTTTCGGCCTTTCTCTTAAAATTGATCCATAGTTTATTATCTAGTATATAGTGTACTCCAGAGCCCACACTCTTAGCTCACTGCCTGAGTGTGGAGCCTGCCACTGGCCCATGCCTTGTGCTAGCAGCTGTGTGACCTACGACAAATCACTTGAGTTCCTTAAA